TGTCCCCGCATTCCGACGGGTGCTTGTGTGAAAACATGTGTTCCAGTGCAGATGTTTATTATCCGTGCATGCATTTGGGTTGAGCCTATACTGTACCTACATGTATTCCAGGCGCATGTCAGTTACTTTTATGAAGGAGATTTCCTTCTCTTTCTTTCCCTCCACATTGCAATTCTCCGTCGCTTAAACCATAAATATTAGTGAGGCCTGAAGGAAGGAGCTGTCTGTTTACAAAATATACATAATCCAAATGCTTCACCCGTGAGCATCATGAATACACGACAGCGGGATACATAAGTGATAGGGCCGAAGGGAACGTCTGGTTAGCGGAGCTGGCACTGAGTGATTGTCCCTGAAACCCAAACACACACCCTACCTGTGCTTGATACAATATATCCTCTGCTGTAAATAAGTGGATCCATCGAGACAGTTCGGTTTGATAGCATGAAAAATATAATGGGAAGGATATGGTGAGTAAGAGAAGGAATAATGCCAGATACAAGGAGTCAGTGAAAACAAGCAAAGGGAGAGAGAGAGAGAGAGAGAGAGAGAGGGGAAAATAAACAAATAATAAATCAACAACCCTATTCTGTGGTTGCTTAAGGCTAATGAAAGCTCTTTATTAGTCATCCATCCCTTTCTCAATCTCTTTGCTCCTAAAGGCGGCTGTCCTTTCTTTCTGTCTCTCTCTTCTTCACTCTTTCTGCGTAGCCCCCCCCCCCTCCTCCCCCCCAGGATTGATGTACTCTCATCTCTCCAGTAAACGCTAACAATTCCATTAAGCACAACAAAACACTCGTTTAGAGGTGACATTTGTTTCGCTCAACTTTGCTTTGTCATCTGCATATCAACCGAGGGGCCGTCTGCCTCGGCTTGGATTCCGATTATCTGACACGACCTTGCTTTATAATAACTGGCAAATCATAATGGATTCGCTACTCCTTCTTTCTTTAATGACATGGCTCTACGACAACTGCGCTCGGTCTTTGTCTCACTGTGCATTAGTCATTGCTGTAATATCTTCACTTTCTCTGTTTATAAAGATACGCCATAAAAGTAGAGACAATGTATTAAGTCGGTAGTATATTTGCTAGCAGCCAGTGTAATATCACAACAACATAAATACATTCATCCATGTGATTGTAAGTGACATATATGGCCTCGGTAACCCACGTCGTTGTACCATGATCAGATTTGTACACATAATTTCCTCAGCAGTTCATCAGGTGCTTCAACGCACCGATAATATGTCCCAGAATTCCCTGCAAGGTCAAAGCAAGGCAGACGACGGCCATGGGTCCTTTGATGTAGTTCCAGTGATGTGGCCTTCAGTGATTTGGAAACAGGGTTCAGGTCTCAGTTGACACCACGATCAAATGATTTACAAGCCTACAAATTGAACATCCAGTAGCTCTTGGAGTAACTGTGTACAGAAAACTGTTCATGCTGTTTTACACCCGGCTTCTGGCTTTTCCCAGTTTTGACCAACATACCGTCCCTCCTCTACGTCCTGCTACGGAATACTGCATCCAACAGGCGAGCAGCACAGCACAATGAATTGAAATCACCTTCAATTACTGAAATCACCTTCTTCTACTTGCGTGGTCAAATTATCCGCAGGAAAGACTCACCCAACTAGATTGCCATATACTATTCTTAGCCCTGGAACCCCTTTGGTTACTGTATCACTGTCTATTTCACAGTCCCCGTATCTGCAAAGAATAGATGAATACTAATTAAAATACATCATCCATAAATTCTGCAGCTTAGCCCTTTAAAAGAGCACCGAAGGTTTGAGCTGCACAGCCAGTCAGGCAGAAAAGACAGCAGGAGCAAATGTTTCCCACTGGCTGCCAGTTACCACTAATGTTGGAAAAATGATAAATGAGTCCTGGCACGGTGTTTGGAGTCTACGCGTGGATGTGCGGCCGGATCTCTTCCCTTCGTGTAAAGTGTTGCGTCGCATGCCAACAGTTCGCAGTGTGAGCAGATGTTAGCCAGTGATGCCCGGGGTTTCGGCGACACAATAAGGCATTTTTTAGGGTCCTCTTTGAGGAGGAGTCCTGTGAGATGCCTGGATTGCTTTATCGAGCGGAACAAAACTAAGGACACGCAGGCTCGCAGCGGCCGCCGGTAAAACACAGAGGGACGCGAATACAAACACGGCAACCCGCTCCGAGCATGTGCGATACGAACCAACTAACAGTGCCTGCAAAATACCACACACCTGGAATGAGGATAACACACACACAGGATGGACCCTCTGCTGATTGCATATGGCGGCTGCAGCTTGAAGCCGACAGGAAACCTTTTGAACCGTTAACCTTTTTAAAGAGAATGTGGACACAAGAGGGACGAAATAACTTTAGAATGATATAAGTATGTTTTTTCATTAAATGTTGAATGAAAATACGATGTGCAATTTAGAAAAGATCCCTATTGTTTGTCTGGCGTTTGGTAGCGGTCACCCTTTTTCCCAATCCAACACTCTTCATTTTTTCCATGTGCTTTATTATAACAGAGGCAGCCACTGCACTCTATATTTAGCTGCTGCCTGTCACTGACACCCTGATAAAGGGGAGGGAAATGAGTGGTGATGTTGGAGAGCATGGGAAAGGTTAGCACTGTCTCTTTGAATAGATTCAGACTTTCTATGATCATTCTTTGTTACATTGCAGACGCTAATATTTATATTTAAGCTTTGGGAGAAAAAATTAAATATTTCGTTGGAATCTGCACGAAGAATAGTGTCAATCAAAATGACATGAAAATAAAAGCACAAAAGGGACATTTGATGTGATCAGTCACATGAAATGTTTTTAGTTGACACGCATTGACGAATTTGGGTGCATACGGGGACAGATGTGGACTCGGTGGCGTATAGTAAGCTGGCAGCGGACAAAAGCTTAGCTAAACCAATCCTCTATATCTGATGTGATGATCGTAAGACGATGCGACCAAGAGAGAGCAGACTCGACAGCAGACAGGCTACTGCCGCACAGGCACAATAACAAGCAGGCCTTCTCACGAGCATGAAGCAAATGCATCCAAACAGATGCACAAGTTCAGATGAAACCATGGTGAAGGGTCCCTGTCAATGACGTTTACTACAGGCAGAGGCCATGAAGACGCCAAGATGACGTCTTCGCTCTCTGCGCTTCATCATTTACAAGTACTGACGGAGCCGTTCCAAATCCTATAAATACTTAAGGGGAATCATGATCGCTTGAAAAAAAAAGAAAACAAATCACAGAGTAAAGAAGGAGTAAAGAAGGAGTGGAACTGAAACCTTAGAAATATCAACAGCAAATAAATACATAAATGGAAGTCTGATTTAATTTAATTTGAGCTCTAGTTTTAAGTCACATCCGAGTTGTTTGGAGCCAACTCTTTGATGTAATAACTTATCCATCATAGTTTTCGTTTATTAACTGAAAATACTTTGGGATAAAACATCTGTTTTGATGACCAGTATCATAGTAGGTAAGAACGGGCTCACATGGCAGTTGGGAATGATTCACAACCCAAACACACACATAATAAATGAAACAAGTAAAAACCAAAGATCCAATCAATGATGTTGACTTTTGCCACAGTATTTACACAGTATATTCTATTAATAGTAACTGTTGGTGTTTAAAATGTTTGCAAAAGTATAGCCTGGCATGTTAACAAATAATGGAAGCTCAACATAAAAAGTGTGCTGGAACAAGGAGAATGAACTGGGAAGGTTCAGAGCTTCCATCTATCTATCCATCCATCCCCTTCTTCCATTCTTGTGTACTTAGGGAATAAGCTGCCTGCGGGATGCTGAATTTGTATGAACCTGACTCTTTGACATAACAGAAAGATTTATGCAAAACAAAACATACACACACACACTCTGAATAATTTTATTTACACGGAGGCAAAACCCTCTGCAAATGAACATTTGAAGAGACAATGATCCTCCGTGGGACGAGAGGGGCAGATACCGAGCTCAAGGTTTGAACAAATTAGCATGGAAGTCGCGTTCATCTCATCTCCTCCCATCCACCCTTCCCTCATCCTTGCCCCCCCTCTCATTAAGGGCTCTCTTCCCCTCATCTGAAAAAACATTCGGCAACAGAAAGGTCAGACTTATAATCGGGGAACATAATTAAGTATTTTGAAGGCTTTCAAGCGGCTGTGGCTGACATGCTAATTAATGCCGTAATGTAATTAAAGGGGTTCCCGGGAAGTCCAGAGTCTCTGTGGCAAAGCGGGGTCCCTAAGAGGACTTTTTTGTAACGTTGTGTGCAGTTGGCGATGTGTGTTTTCACCCCGTGCGTCGTCTCCCCCTGGCCAAAGTTGCCAGAGAGGCTTGTGTGTGTGCGTCTGTTACCTCGAGCCCACGGCAGCTGCAATGTGTCAGTGCTGTATGTGAGTGTGTGTGCCTGTGTGAAAGGTGCTATCCCGTTTTCAAATTGCCATGTCATGCGTCTCTCTGTAATGTGAATGTGTAAAACTCCCCACAGGTGTGATTTAGCCCCATGCAAACACCATCGATGTGATTTTCACTCGAGTGGAATTGCATTCATTCCTGTGTTTGAATCTGCCCGTAAGCTCAGTGTTGTCCTCATCCATCCAGCTGATGCTCCTTTCCAGTAGCATCACCACGGATGAATGGAATGAATACGCAGCCTGTGTGTGTGTGTGTGTGTGTGTGTGTGTGTGTGTGTGTGGTTATTTTATGGTACAGTCAGCGGCAGCGTAATGAAGGACTCATCGCCTTAAGTTTACAACTGTGCCACACGTGCATGTGTGTAATCTTGTGTATGTTCAAGGCGGGGACATTATGACCCTTAAAGTCCCACTTACACACACACAATGTGCATTTTACCTGACAGTATTTAAGAACGCGGTGATGAGGACGTCTCCTTTCTACACAATAACCCCAACCGCCGCGCACAAAAGCTGGGTAACCGCCTTCCCACCACCCAGAGAAAAACAGGGGGGAGGGGGGGGGGGTTCCATGTTACCTGATGCTGCTCATGCTCCCTGCGTCGGATCCCAGCTTGCACCTCTCCAGCTGGGTGGCGACAATCTGACGCTCTGCCTCAAGTTCCCTGGTGAGGCGCTCAAACTGAAGCTCCTGAGAAGAGAGAGGAAGCAGAAAGCGTGCGTTAAGACAGAGAGAAGGAAAGGGAGCGAGGGAGGGGAGGCGGTGAAGTCTCGAACTGGAGCTAAAGAAATAGAAATAGAATAGAAAATAGAAAGAAATAGAGACACAATAGTGTCATTATTAAACTTTACTTCTCAACAAAAATAAAAAAAAACTGTTTTATTTCACATCTGATTGGTCATTGATGGAATATGGGTGTCAAAACTACCAAGAGCTGGTAGCCTTTTTTCAATGTAGCTAACCTTTGAAAGCCACCGGACGGAACCAGAAAGGCATCTCAGTGCGAACCGAAAGGTCGCTTGTCGTGGGAGGAGTGAAGTATTGTCAGCAGCAGATCACGGGAGGAAGCAGCTCAAGGCTGCATGACAGCTACGCGAAAGCTAAAAATGAAGTGCGATCATTAACATGAACGGGATTGACAGGTGAGGAAAGGCGTGAGGCAGAGAGGCTGGTTAAAAGTGTTCTAAATGTGTGAGCGGAAAAAAAAAGAAGTCCTTTAATCCCATCTGCTGTGAAGCAGGGGCGGGTTGTCAGTCGGAGCGGTTGAAGCACCTGAAACCCGAGTTACAAGCTGTGAGTCTGTCTCATGGAGAGCGCGCGGTGGAATTCCTTTGCGAGATGGGAATTGTTTTCCTGTTTTGTCAAAAAGATTATTTTTTCACATTCTTAAAAAAGTAGATTAGAAGAGTAAACAAAAATGTTTGTTTTCTTTCTTCACGGCAGCTGATAAAAGAAGGCTGAGATTTTAGATATCTTAATATCACAGTATGGTTGTTGTCTTTTTCTCTTTATAAAGTGGATTGTTCTAAAGTCTGATTTTCTGAACTTAACAAGCTGTTTATGCCTTTATATTCTTCATTCTATCCCCCCATTTTGAGGGACCAACAATATCTATACTCATAAAAAATACTTTATTTTCTCACAAACATTTGAAGGCAGGTTTTTGGTAACACTGCAGCCGTCCTAACTGTGTTCCCCATGTGAGGGGAAAGTATATTTCCAGCTTAGAATTCAAATTGCAAACATCAGATCACTGCAATAAAACTCAACAACAGCCAAAGCAAATTACTTGCAATGCAAATGATGTAATTCTACTGTTTACATTGCAAACGATGTAATTCTACTGTTGGCAGTATGGTTTTAGAAGCTGCGCTGCAGTGTTTACTATTGTGAGTATCTTATTGAAATATGGACTTCATGGATACCCCAATGAAGATGATTGTTTAGTTTATTTTTGATCTTTCTGTCTGCCACTGGAGCTGCTCGCTAAAAGCTTCATGTAATGAAGATTAGCCAACCCCGTTCGTGTGTGCATGCATGCACGTGTGTGTGTGTGTGTGTGTGTGTGTGTGTGTGTGTGTGTGTGCAAATGCATTAGCTATTTAAGTGGCTTGCTGACAGTTCCATATCAGTCATTTAGCTACGAGCCAGACGGATGAGATTTCAAACCAGCATTCGCTGTGTGCAGGTACGCGCGTTCAAGTTAATCACAGCCACATGGAAGCAGATCAATAGTGGGGTGAGCTCCACCCCACCGATAGATATTGTGCACGAGGAGTGCATGTGCGAGACCGAGAGAGAGAGAGAGAGAGAGAGAGAGATACTGTGTGAGCGAGATGTAGAAAGAGTCTACGCTGGTTTGATTGGTTTTCTCAAAGCCATTTGAAGCTCTGAATGTGTTGATCCCCCCCCCTCGCTATCTCAAGTCTCCAACCTCAAGCCGCTCTCCTCTCTTCTCCAACACCACAGAGCACAATGCACTTCTCCCTCCCTCTGCCTCACCCCTTTTTCACACACACTTACATCAACCACTTCCTCATACGCACACCTTCCCCTGGCTCCCTGTTTTCCTCTCGTGCACACTTTTAGTATCATGCTTTCTTCCTCCTCCTATTCCTCTCTCACACACACAAACACACACAAACTACTCTGGTGCCAAAGCCAAGCCACAAACACGTGCATATGTAGCCGTGCATATCTTGCCATCCCTCTGTTATCTTCTCTCCGTTGAAACCTCAACCTCCTGTCCGAGCCCCCTGTCCAAATGTTGTCTTTCTTTACCTCCAAATAGATCAACATCAATCAGATGAACAACAGAGTAGCGGGCTCAGCCTCCCCTACGATTTGCAAAGTGTCGCAACGCTGGGAATCGGAGCAGCGTCTATTAAACCCACTGGATCCCGTAATTCTAAATTACAGCTTTCTTCGCCCCGCTTCGAAGCCCTGCTCTGCTCCCCACAGCAGACTGACTTGTCGCATTGTTTGCCACTGCCGCAAAGGTTTTAAATCCTCAAGGCGGGATGCAAATTCCCACACCGCGTGAAGCATTATGCTAATTGATGATAGAAAATACCTCATTGTTAAAGTATCTAAAGTGCTTAATGCTTGGATGCAAATACAGATGGGAAACCCGTTAGGCTAGCTCCTGCATCTGGATAGAACGTATTCAAATGTGCACAGCCTTTTTGTCAAATGTTCTTCATCTGCATCTTCTGCCTAAGGAAAAGTTTGTTCAATGATGTTTAGGTAGACGAACTGCTGCTGACAGTTCATTTCAGAAGCACACTCCTGAATTGGCATATTATCTGTATAATGAGTGAGTTAAGACCACGGAGACAGCAAAGAATTCATTAATTAATTCCAAATTAATGCAGAAATTAACAGTTTAATAAGTAGAATCTGTGCTGTTATTTTGGGGTTTTTTAACTATGCGATCTTGTGGGCAGCTTTTTAGACACAAAATATAGTTTAATTTGATTCAGAAAGCCTCTCTCTTCTTATAGAAAATATATAGTACACATTGTTGTACATTAGAACCATGTTGCAAACAGCTGTGAATTCAGCTTCAATACCAGAACAGTCAGTAATACTATAATCATTTTGATACTGTCCCAATTGCTACAAAGATTAGCAACTCAACATCATAAAGGCTGTGCATGTCTTCAGTTCCATGTTTACTCTGTTGAATTAGGCTTATCGCAGACAACACATCTGCCAACTCAATAACATTTCTCTCTGTAAAAGCTTACTCAGCCGCCAGAGTAAGTAAATCCAACCGTCACAAACATCAAATCCACTGAAGCATGATGTACTGGGAAAGTAGGGAACTATTCTAACAACTTCGTGAGTTCAGTTCAAGATACTGATATCATCTAAATGTAACATAAAAAATGATAGAAAAGTGTTTCATTTAACTTCACGTGCTGCTCTCTTGTCCTTCTGCAAGGAACACAACCAAGCTGAATCTTGGATTCGGATTCTTTACTGTGCTTTAAAATGTTATCCGATTGTCAATGAACCACAGTCGAACAACATATAAACTCAACAATATCACTGCACGACAATAACCACAAACAATTTGTCATATCAGCCATTTTTCCATCGCTATGCGTGTGTGTTTTAAGAACAGCCTTGTAACCGTGCCCGCTAAGCCATTTGTTCCGTGTGCAGTAATATGTTTTACCTCAGGATGTGCGTGGACCACAGCGCAATAAATCCGAAACCAACACGTCGGGACGAGCTCCAGCTGCTGCTCCTTCCGCTTTGATCGTGTGTCTCCATGAAATTGCACAAAGTGTGGGATTCCACCGAGCCGATTGTGCGCAGGGCACCGCCTCCCTCTCACGAAGGAACGGGAGACAGCACCCACAGCAGCCACGGAGGTCTCTATGGAAACCATGTGTGTGGTTCTGTGGAACCATATGCATCCCCCTACCCTGTCGGCATAGATTGGGACCTGACTCATTCACACACCTGCACATGGAGGTGTCTCTGCGCATGGAGACCAGCCCCTACGTAGAAGGGACCAGTCTCCTCGAGTTTCTTTGTGTAAGGAATGCTTATTAGACTGTCAGCACATTATTCATAGGCTATTAATGCCAATTAGAGAGCCGCACAGCCAGAAAATACAATGTTACAGCTGTTGTGTGAGATGTACTTATTTTACATGCAAAACATATAGTGGGAAAAAAGAATAACATAGCAGTTGCCCGTGTATTTCAGCTTTAAATGGGATAAATGGCAGCCGTAAATCTGCTTAAGCGAAATTCCCCACTTGCCACCATAAAGACACTGTGGGCCGTCTGTGCGTGATGGTCTCTGTGTGTCCAGAGATAAGGCCCAATCATTATAAAGTGGCCTATGGGCAGCTATTAACAGCGCTGTTTTTGGATGGGAGACAAAAGGCTATCAAATGGAGCTATGACCTTCTAGTTGAGAAGTATCTCTCTCCTTCGCCTCCCTTACCTCAATCAAGAAAGACGAATGAAAACAACTGAGATGAGATGAGTGGGGAGAGGGGAGTGTAAATGGGACCTGGTAAAAAAGGTCACTCTCCTCCGTCACTCCCGTGCATATTAAAAAAACCCGCAGGGTAGCAATAAACCCGGATCCTCCGTCCTAAACCTACAGATGTGGTTCATGCAGCGTAGGTACGGTTCATTTTCTGCCCCTCTCTCTCCGCCCGTCTCATCTGTCACTTTAATGAGTGTGAAAAGTCAACCTCGAGTCAGGAGAGGAGCAGCGGGAGGAGGGGAGGCAGAAGAACCGGAGGCAGTGAGAGCGAGGGAGAAAGACAGAGGAGGCCGAGACGTCTCTGCTGAAGAGAGTCGCGTGAGACGATAGCCGAGGGAGGGACACCTGATCCACTCGCTCTGTGCGCCAGACAGAGAGAAGAAAGGGAACAGAGTGGGCTGATCATATTTATGTCTCCATAATGTGGGGATGGAATGCCTGTGAATGAACACTATGGTTTACTGTTACCTGCTATGGGGCATGTGTGCGTTTTATCCTGGGAAGAACACACACAATCTGTTGACTTTTGAGGTGATGGTTATTTTGTGTGTAGAGTCTCTCGGATTCGGTTTTGATAACTTCCAGTAGTATTTGTTACACTCACATTATACACGCTCAAGTGAAATTTGGGGAAAAAGCAACTTCGCTAAAACAAGAAACTGAACCTAAAAAAGGAT